TTGTATGAAATCCCAGATTTAAGAAGCAAACCACATTATTATTCCCTCATCCCTGACAAATCCCTTCCTATTATTACCCTTTCCCAAACCACTGGTGCTTTTGCTCCAATCCTTACATCACTGTAAGCATCTAGGGGCATTTTTTTTCTCCCCCTTCCTATTAAAAGGAAAAACAGGGGAATCCAGGAAAGGGTAAAATCCTAAATAACTGGAAATTGTTCTGCTCTGGGCAGGCAGTGCTAGGCAGCCCCACGGGAACAACAGGGCCTTGCAAAATCCTCCACAAAGGAGGTGGTTTTTGTTGTTGTTTGTTTTTTTTTCCCCCTGGAAAAATAACACAGGGACCAAATGCAGATGGAGTTTGATCCAGGAGAACAAATGAGATGCTGTCACCTCAGGCCTGCTACAAGCCAGGGGCTTTGCTTTGGTTATGGCCATGACTAAATGGCATTTTCCCAGCCTCGCCAGGACCGTAATTATCCCTAATGATCTGAAGTTTAATTAATGTTTTCCTGCTGCTGTCTGCCCAAGAAAACTTCACCCCTGTGCAAAGTGCTATGTAAGGAGAGCTTTAGGATTCACAGGGATGAGGGAAATTAAACCCAGAGGTGCCTGAGGAGAATGGAAGATGGAATCCATAGATGCCTAGAGATGCATAGGGTCTAAATGTGTATATTATATTAATGTATTAATAGGTAATACAGAGATATATCCATAATATATTAATGTACCATATAGATATAGCAGTAATGATTTTAAGCTGGAAGAGGGGAGATTTAGGTTGGACATTAGAGGGAAATCCTTCACTATGAGGGTGGTGAGACCCTGGCCCAGGTTGCCCAGAGAAGCTGTGGCTGCCCCATCCCTGGCAGTGTTGAAGGGCAGGTTGGATGGGGCTTGGAGCAGCCTGGTCTAGTGCCCATGGCATTCCCTGCACATGTTAGGGAGGTTGGAACCTTTAAGTTCCCTTCCAACCTCAACGTTCTGTGATTCTATATATTAACAGTTAAAAATATATATTAATATCTATCTATAGTATATTAATATATCATAGAATCACAGAATCGTTTGGGTTGGAAAGATCATCCAGTTCCAACCCCCTGCATGGGCAGGGACACCTCCCACCAGCCCGGGTTGCACAAGCCCCATCCAGCCTGGCCTTGAACACCTCCAGGAATGGGGCTTCTCAAGCTCCCTGGACAACCTGTTCCAGCACCTTCCTACCCTCACGGTGAAGAATTTCTTCCTGATGTCCAACCTAAATCTTCCCTCTTTCAGTTGAAAACCATCACCCTTTGTCCTATCACTGCCCTCTCTGGTAAGAAGTCCCTCCCCAGCTTTCCTGGAGCCCCTTCAGGCACTGGAAGCTGCTCTAAGGTCTCCCTGGAGCCTTCTCTTCTCCAGGCTGAACACCCCAACTCTCCCAGCTTTCATAGCAGAGCTGCTCCAGCCCTGGGATCATCTTCATGGCCCTTCTCTGGACCCTCTCCAACAGCTCTGTCTTTCCTGTGATGAGGGCTCCAGAGCTGTGTAAATATATATATATATGTATATATAAAAATAATGCCTAGACTATTTCCAGGCTCTTCCCAGTGTTCCTCATTAAAATGGGATGTGCTGATGCACCTTCCCCCCTCAGCATGACATTTAGGGGGCAGGATGGGGGCAAATCTTGCAGAGGGGTGCAATGGTGACCTTCTTCCTCCTCCTCCTCCCTCTGCTTCCCAGGGCCCCCGGTCGACGGATGTCGAAGGCAGTCCGGGATTTTCTTTACGCCCAGAAGGTCCAGGCGCCGGTGGAGGTTTACTCGGAGTGGTTGGCTGTGGGCCACGTGGATGAATTCCTCACCTTCGTCCCAGCTGCTGACAGGAAGGTACCTGTCCCTGGGCCTGTCCCTGAGCCTGTCCCTGGGCCTGTCCCCAGAGCTGTCCCTGCTCCTCCATGGGGTGACTTCTACAGCTGGAGGAAAAAAACAAACCCAGAACCCTCCCCCCATCCCCTCCTTTTTTTGCAATCTCTCCTCCTCCCTAGTGCATCTGGGGGATGCACCTTCTTTTGGGGTGGCTTCCCTGGAATATGGTGAGTCCCTGGATTGTGTCCCGGCCGTGGTGGCATCTCCTGTACCCTGTGACATGAGGGGCGGGGTTTGGGGTCAGCGCAGCATCTCTCAGCAGGACAGTGGGATAAAATATCCCAGTGACAGCAAAGTGTGAGCCCTGGGCTTTCCCTTGCAGGGTTTCCGGCTCCTCTTGGCCAGTCCCAGCGCCTGCTACCAGCTCTTCAAGGAGAAGCAGAGGCAGGGCCATGGTGAAGCCTCACAGCTCGTTGGTAAGGGCATCGCTGTGGCATGGTGAGGACCACTGGTGTCCCTTCCGGTGTCCCTTACTGCTCTGGTCCCCGTGCAGGGCTGAAGGGCACTGAGAGGAGAAGCATTGATGAGATCCTGGCGGATGAGTCGCTGAGGAAGGACAACAGGCATGTGCAGGTGGGTCTTTGCACTCATGGATTTAGGTGGATTCGCTCTCCTCGCTTGCACATGGGTGATTTCTCGCTGGGGGAGCATTTTTAGAGGTCCTGGGGAGAAGAGTAAGAAACTGAGGTGTGAGTTACACTGTGCAGTGTGAAAGCAGGTGGGCAAGAGGGGCAGCCATGAAGTGGCCAGGCACCCTTGGGTGCTGGGAGGTGACAGCAGAGGTGTCAAGACTGAAGGGGAGAGGCTGACTGGGTTGGTGTTGGGTTCAGGAGGTTGCTCAGAGGGATGGGATGAGGTGCAATGGGGAGTGGATGATGATCTGGGCAGGTTGCAATGGAGCAGGTGAGGATCTGGACAGGATGAAAGAGGTCCCATGGGTCTGTGCATGGGTTGTGGGGGTCTGGGGTGGCAATTCCAGGTCCTCCCTCCCTGCAGCGCTGCATCGACTGGAACCGTGACCTCCTGAAGCAGGAGCTGGGCCTGAGTGAGCCAGACATCATTGATATCCCCCAGCTCTTCATCTTAAGTGGTTCCCGTGCAGAAGCCCTCTTCCCAGACATGGTGAGACCCCCCAGCACCTCCTCCCCTCCCACCCCTCTTTTTCCTTCCACACCTGATGCAAACACACCTTCTGGGGTGGGGGGCAGGTGGAAAACCCTGACTTTTGGTTTGGCTGCAGGTGAACATGCTGGTGCTGGGCAGACACTTGGGCATCCCCAAGCCCTTTGGACCAGAGGTGGGTGGGCAGTGCTGCCTGGAGGCGCGGGTACGGGAGCTGCTGGAGCCCCTGGGCCTCACCTGCACCTTCATTGATGACTACTTCTCCTACCACGTCCTCTGTGGGGAGGTCCACTGTGGCACCAACGTCCTGCGGAAACCCTTTGCCTTCAAGTGGTGGCACATGGTGCCTTGAAGGACCTGGGGGAAGGGCTCAGGTCCTGCCAGCTAGAGGATGAAGGTGCATTTGATGCATCAGAAGGTGCATATGATGGGGCTAAAACCATCAGGAGATGCATCAAAATGAAGGGTTTTGCTAATAAAGCTGCATGAACACTCAGGGCACAGCTCTTCCCCACCTCCTGCCCTTTCTTCCTCAGCGCTGGAGTTGAACATGTTTGAAACCATTTGGGTTTTTTTTTAAGGAGATGTTTTTGTTTCTGGTGGTTTTATGGGATGGGGACAACCTTGGTGGGTGGAGGATGGACATGGAAGCATCTTGAGGAGTGTGGTGCCTGCAAGGAGGCTGTGTTGGGGGTTTGAGGCTCCATCCCACTGCAAAAGGGTCTTACATCCCAGGTGTGTAGTTAATAAACTCCCTCCAGAATTCCCTCAATCAGCCAAAAAGCCCCTTTCCCTTGGAGACACTGGCTCTCTGCGCCAGCCCAGCATGGAGACAGGGCCTTTTCCACCATCCCCAGTGAAATAAAACCTTTCATTTCCCCCTTGCAGCTGCCCCTTCTCTGCCTCTTTTCCTGGCAACCCAAGTGTGGCATTTCCTGTCCCAACCTGGCACCCCTGCCCATCTCTCCTGCCAACAGGAACTGAAACCAGTTCCCTGTTCTGGGTATCACTCTCTGCAACCCCAGGAGATATTCTGGGGCTTAAACCCACTTCTTTTGGGGCATTTTTCTTTCCTCCCACTGTTTTTTTGAGGTGTAAAAGCACAGCTACACCCCCAGCAAAGTGCCGGGGTTTGCGAGCGCTGCTGGAGAACCCAGGCAGATGTTCCCCAAAAGGCTCACAAATCCTTCCTGGCACCCCTTTTTTAACCATAAAGAGGATTTTCAACCCCAGAAATCCACTTCTTCCCCATGGTTATGGCTCAGCTGAGTTTCCCCAGTCCTGAGGAGTGATATTAAAATTCCAGTGGTGCACACCCCCCAGGGAGTGGGTGGGGGGAACAGCTGCATCCACAAAGGACTCTCCCACGCCCAGACAAGGATTTTAATTAAAACAAAGACCACTGAATTCACAGCAGGGTCTGTTGTCCCCACCACAGGTGACACACCAACCCCCTGAACCCGTGCAGCACCCGAGGGCTGGGGAAAATACCCATTTTTGCACCTTCAACTCCCCCTGTTAGAAGAATTAAAGCCAGTTTTTCCAGCTGGACAAAGAAAACCCTCGAGGAGGATGAAATAAAACCTCTCAGAGCCTGGTGCTGGCACATCCCCAGCTCAGCTCTGGTGTCACTGAATATTTTACAGCGTGGGTTTAAGGGTGGCTGGTCACATCAGCCTCTCTTTGTGCTAAGAGAGGGGGGGAGGAAACCATCCAAACCACCCTGGAAAGAAAAACAACAAGAACAAAACACCCTCGTGGGTGTCTTAGGGTGCTTCCCTTCCCCATCCCTGCTCCAGCACCGGGAAGCACGGCTGGTCACCCTGTGCAACCAGCCCTGGAGGCTGAGAGCCTGGAGGTGGGATTAAGCCAGGCTTTGATTAATCCCCTCCCAGCAACCAGACTTTATAAATCCCCTGGTGCCACCCCTTGCAGCACCCAAGGGTGCCCCAGGGGCTGGCCCAGCATGGCCCAGCAGCGCCGCGTCCCGCTCTCCACCCAGCGTCCCACCAGCACCGTCTGCGTCCTGGGCACTGAGCTCTCCCTGGATGTCTGTGGGTAAGGCCGAGGGGTGGGGGAGGAAATCCCACATCCTCCTGCTTTTTTTGCTTTTTATCCCCTTAATCAACCTGATAAAAAGGGTGGGGCAGATGCTGCGGCTTTTGGGGATGCTTTTCCCAAGGGATTCGGAACCCTGGGATGCTGCGGCTGAGGACTCACCTCTCCAAGGGGAATTTTTGGGTGCATAAAGCTTTCAGTGTTGTTCCAGGGTTGAGGTTCACATCCAGTCCAGGAGCTGCTGTGTCTTCCTGCAAAAAATGCAAATATTTCCTTGTTTCGGGGGAATGTGGAGGGCGAAACTGCCGGGGAGTCACCTCCTGGCACTGGGTGGCTCAGCCTCCCTGCTGGCCCCGACCCAACTTCAAGTGCTTTTCTACAGCAGGTTTTGCTTTTTGCTTCCTGAAAACCCCAGCTTCAGCAGCTGCTTTTTTGGGGGGGAAGGGAGGTTGCGTGTGCTATTTTCCTTAAAGCACCCAAACCCACCTCTGCTGAGACCATCGCACTCCCTCCTGTCGGCCCCAGGGTGGGATTTTTCCCTCCACCCTGGGGTTGGATCCGTGTTTCCCTCCTTGCAGGGCAGCATTTTTGCTCCCTGGCCTGTGGCTCGTGGCCTCTTGCACCACAGAGGAGTGTGGCAAGTTGCAGCCTGCCCAAACACAGCAGCTTTTCCACTCTTGAGGGGTAACAACCGGTCAGGGTTCACTGTGAGGGTGGTGAGAGCCTGGCCCAGGTTGCCCAGGGAAGCTGTGGCTGCCCCATCCCTGGCAGTGTTGAAGGGCAGGTTGGATGGGGCTTGGAGCAACCTGGGCTGGTGGGAGGTGTCCCTGCCCATGCAGGGGGGTTGGATCTAGATGGTCTTTAAGGCCCCTTCCAACCCAAACCATTCTGTGATTCTGCAAAATGCAAACATTTGGGGGGGGGGGGGGAAAAACGCCCTTGGGCGCT